CTGACTAGCCCAGTGGTTTTTCCTACTTTCTTCAGTTTAAGCTTGAATTTTGCTATAAGAAGCTGATGATCAGAGCCACAATCAGCTCCAGGTCTTGTTTTTGCTGACTGTATAGAGCTTCTCCGTCTTTGGCTCCAGAGAACATAATCAATCTGATTTCGGTATTGCCATCTGGTGATGTCCATGTGTAGAGTCACCTGTTGTATTGTTGGAAAAGAGTGTTCGTGATGACCAGATTGTTATCTTCACAAAACTCTATTAGCCTTTTCCCTGCTTCGTTTTGAACTCCAAGGCCAAACTTCCCTGTTGTTCCTTTTATCTCTTGGCTCCCTACTTTAGTATTCCAGTCCCCTAGAATGAGAAGAACATTGGTGTCAGTTCTAGAAGGTGTTGTAAATCTTCATAAATTGTTCAATTTCAGTCTCCTCAGCAGTGGTGGTTGGTGCATAAACTTGGATTATTGTGATGTTGAAAGGTCTGCCTTGGATTCGTATTGAAATCATTCTATCATTTTTGAGATTGTATCCCAGTACAGCTTTTTCCACTTTTTTGTTGACTATTAGAGCTATTCCATTTCTTCTATGGGATTCTTGCCCACAATAGTAGATATGATAATCGTCTGAATTGAATTCGCCCATTCCCATCCATTTTAATTCACTGACGCCCAGGATGTCAATGCTTCTTCTTGCCATCTCCTGTTTGACCACATCCAGCTTACCAAGGTTCATAGATCTTACATTCCAGGTTCCTATGCAGTATTTTTCTTTGCAGCATTGGACTTTCCTTTCACTTCCAGGCGCATCCACAGCTGAGCGTCCTTTTGGCTTTGTCCCAACCACTTCATTAGTTCTGGAGCTATTTCTACTTGTCCTCTGCTCTTCCTCAGTAGCATGTTGGATGTCTTCCGACCTGAGGGGCTCATCTTCCAGCATCATATCTTTTAGCCTTTTGTTTCTGTTAATGGGGTTTTCTTGGCAAAGATACTGTAGTGGCTTGCCAGTTCCTGCTCCAGGTAGATCAAAACTCACCACTATGACTTGTCCTGTCTTGGGTGTCCCTGCACGGCATAGCCCATAGCTTCTCTGAATTACTCAAGCCCCTTCACCACAACAAGCCAGCAATCCGTGAAGCTCATTTTAGGACTACTCTATTTGGAACTTTGTCTTTCCAGGTGATACCAAAAATGCGTCAGAGACAATGCATATCGAATGTGTTCAGCTTCCTCTCCTGCCATGCACAAAGGGTCCAGGACTCACTGCAGTACAGGAGTGTGCTCAGGACACAGGCTCTATAGACCTGGAACTTGATATATGCCGTCAGCTTCTTATTAACCCATACTCTCTTTGTGAGCCCACATCATTAAAAGACAGTATTTAATACCTACCTTCTCATTCTACCTATACAGAAAAAGGCAAAATATAAAAAACATTATTCATAAAAAAGCATTGTTCCATAAACAGGTATTTAATTCTTATTTGAAAATGCATTGTGAAGCTTTATTATAAATGTATGGTATTACAAACCGTCATACGTGATGGAAAGCCATGGGGATTCATAATAATATCAGGACAGATTCCTGTGTCACAAAATGGCATATCCTCTTGTGGCACAATCAATCCACAAACTCCTAGAACACAAAATGTATTTTGAACAAGCAATTAATATTACAGAATCAATATCAAACACTGCAATCCTTATGTTGGCCAACTCACTTTCTAGTGAGATATTCTGGACAAGAGTTAAATTCTATGTTAGCTTATTGTACTAAAATAGTTTCCTCAAAATTACAACTGTTTTACTGTATTGGTATCTAATAATGCCACCATCAATGCTAGTTACCGTGTTTCCCCCAAAATAAGATAGGGTCTTATATTAATTTTTGCTCCAAAAACGCACATTAGGGCTAATTTTCAGGGGATGTTTAATTATCTTTTTTTCATGTACAACGATCTAAAAAGGTAAAGGTTCCCCTTGACAATTTTTGTCCAGTTGTGTTCGACTCTAGGGGGTGGTGCTCATCCCCGTTTCCAAGCCATAGAGCCAGCGTTTTGTCCGAAGATAATCTTCTGTGGTCACATGGCCAGTGTGACTTAGACACGGAATGCTGTTACCTTCCCACCGAGGTGGTCCCTATTGATCTACTTGCATTTGCATGCTTTCGAACCGCTAGGTTGGCGGGAGCGGGGACAAGTGATGGGCGGTCACACCATCACGTGGATTCGATCTTACGACTGCTTGGTCTTCTGACCCTGCAGCACAGGCTTCTGCGGTTTAGCCCGCAGTGCCACCACGTCCCTGTACAACGATCTATAGTTATTCAAATACAGTCATTTCATCTTCTGGATGCTGCACAATGGTGGACAGCAGGGTTTCACTTAACTAGGGCTTATTTTTGGGTAGGGCTTATATTACGAGCATCCTGAAAAATCATACTAGGGATTATTTTCAGAGAAACAGGGTAGATTAAATTAAAGTACTAAGATTTTTAAAAGTTGCCATTTTGCAGTGACAGAAACAAAAAAACAAAAAAACCAAAGGCAGGCTCCCATTCTGGATACTCTGGACATTCTAAGAGTCAGGTCATTAGGCAGAGCAACCATCAGACTGGGTATTCTGGGGGTTGCAGCCATGACATCTAGAAGATACCAGAGTGAGGGAAAGCTACTGTAAAGGAACTTTCTGGAGGCATCTACTCTAAACTGTATTCAATTTTGGAAGATTCAGCCCATAATAAGACATATGCCAAGAATTTTGAGAAAATATAAGGAAAACCATCAACTTCTTGATAACCTAGAACTCCAGCAATGTTTGATGACATTGGTCAAAGTATGGTCTTGCTCTGAAAATGACTTATACTTATGACAAAGGGTAGATATGCAACTCTGACAAAATTTGCACTTTTTCTCTCCTGTGAAAAGTGGCCAACTTTGCCCATGCCACTAAATTATTTAGATCAATAAGAAGAAAAGTGAGTTGGCAAATGCTCCAATCAAATGCTTTAAAAGACTTCAGTCCTCAGAACACTTCAGCATTTGTGTATTAAAATGTATCACATGGAGTGCCTGAGAACAGGTAGGCTAGGCTGTTCTATGCTAGCCTAGAATGGGACAGGAAGGGGGAATTACAGTGAACAAAGAGTAGATTAGGAGTTTCTGCATATTTTTGCTTTTAAGTAGTGATTTAATAGTGATTCAGCACTCCTCCACAAACCTAGTTCTCTGACAAAAGTGCTAGAGCTACAAAAAAAAATCATTTTAGTAATTTTCTCCCATATGAAAAAAGAGAAGTAGGCTTATTATATAATATTTACACACAGACTAATACTGTATATAACCTCTTACATCCTATCATATCACCCCATGTGCACACACATACACAAATCGTGGGTCTAGTCAAACGTAGAGTATATGTTTCTTCTTATTAGGAAAGTGTGTGGTTGTACTGGGACGAAAGGGCACCTGTAAACCTAAAATTAAATCTGTGCTAACTAAAAATTACTTTAGGGGCTGAAGCCCTTTTATATGCCAAGACGGTTCCCATAGCAGACAGCCACTGTGTTGTTTGTTTTGTGTGAAAGTGAATGATAAAAGATCCATGAAATCGACACAGAAAGGCAGAACAGCAGAAAGAACCGAGGCCTCTCCATCATAGCAGCTTCTAGCCTTTGCTGACTTGTATAACAATGGAATCGAGACGTCCAACTGCAGATCTAACACAGCTGTGCATTTCATTAGATGAAGAGCACTAGTGACACAAGTAAATAATTAACTTATTCTGCTCCGCTGACTGTGCTTATGAGACCAGTCATAGCTGACAGATTTTAATATAAGTTAAACACAAAGAGAGGATAATGAGATTAGACGTTAAAACAAAATATTTAGACTGATTCGGAAGGGGAGGACTACATTACCCTCAACAGGCAATTTAGAAGTTCCGATTTTTAAATGTAAGTTAAGAATTCCAACAAAAATCTTTAAAAGCCTTAATAGGTGGCGGGGGGATAAACAGCAATGATCTCTATAGAACTGAAGGAATACAACTGTACAACTAAAAGTCTTTTTCACCCAGCATACTTAGAACTAATTATATTATTTTAAGCATAGATATATACCTTCTAATAACTGGCTTATGATGTTTCAAAAATCCAGTGTATACATTTTCATGTATTTAATGTTAATGATATTTAAAAACACACTGTCTTCCTTAAATTCTAGAAAGCAGAAAGTGGTGGCACATTGGACATAAGTCTTTCCAGAGCTACATTTTAAGACTTACTCCACAAGTTGACATATAGGTATTAGAATACACACAGCACTAAAGGGGCAACCACCCTATCGGATTAAGTTCTATTCAAATGCAAAGTGCTTATTTTTAAGTACATGTCCCGGAACAGGTTGTCAATCCTATTTAAATGTACATTCCATTTAGTTATTCAAAGCTCTAGATAGTAGAAATACATCTACTTTATGACACCAATAAACCCGGTAAAATTTATAAAGACATACTTTGGAATAGATATGTACAAAAAAGCACTGTCCAACATTAATAATTTCATTAAATTAAGTTAAAATTGAAATACAAAAATTACAATTTTTCAAGGAGTACAAGACAATCCAATTTCCCTAAATTAAAGAACTTACATGGGAAGGATCACCAAAAAGTAGAATTAAATAATATATTTTACCATTTCCTAACAAAATTTAAATTTATAGTGTAGAAGATATTCTTTAGATAAACTGCTCTCTCTTGCATAGACATTGAGATCTTTCAGAGAGGACTGTCTCTCATCTAGCTAGGTCTTGGAGAAGTTACTTTCCCCCAAATACTGAACTGAATCATTTACAGCAAAATGAAAACAAGGGTGGCGGGAACCCTTATGACAAACTCTCATATTTAGCACCAAAACAATGGCATTATAATGATTTATTAGTTAAGAAATATTAATAATGCCTTAAATCAATGGTCCCCAACCTTGGGCCTCCAGATGTTCTTGGACTTCAACTCCCAGAAATCCTGGCCAGCAGAGGTGGTGGTGAAGGTTTCTGGGAGATGTAGTCCAAGAACATCTGGAGGCCCAAGGTTGGGGACCACTGCCTTAGATGCTGGCTTTGTTGTTATCTACTCCTTCAAGATATTAAAACACACCCAAGCAAGGTTTTCTTGACTTTACTCTAAAAAGTTACTCTTCTAGACAAAATCTTACTATCTTACAGAGATTTTCTGAAGCTGTAACCCAAGAGATGACATTTTTCAAATTTTGATTAACACTATGCTCATTATAGACTACAGATAGGCACCAATGCATTTGGTATTGTATCTGCATAATATTAAATGATAATCTAGTCAGGCTCCTGGTTTCCAATGAATATACTTGTTCTGTTCTACAAGAAACATTTTTTTATAAAGAGCAATTACAGTTCATGTTGAACTCCTTTAAAATAAAGATGTCAGGTATCACCAATTACTGCCAGTTTTGTCCTATTGCAGAACATTTTAATGGAGAAACTGGTGAAAAACACAGGAAAAAAATTCTACTAAAAACAGCAACATCCCAAATAACATTTTAATGTAGAATATTTTGACAAATATAATAAAATGATTATGAACAGTTTCCTACATTTGTTGGTCACAAAGACTGCAGGTTTTTTTGTGTTTAAATAATCAGATTAGCCTTTAGGGTGATAACAGGGCCCTTTAAATGTTACTCGACAACTAGTTGCTGCTTTCTCTGGGAGGCTTTCATACATTTAAATTATCATTTAAATTAATTTGGTGAAGCCCAATTGTGTAGTTCTCAAACTCCCAAATTTACACCTCGCAATTTGAGGAAGTGCATATGTGGCTAGGATAACAGTTATAGGGCATCATAAGGAGATGCTGGTTTTGAATCTAGTTTGAATATAACCATATGTCTGTTAGGTTTCTGTTTTCAAGTCTAGAGATATTAAGAGATACACTGAAGCTTTTAGGTTTGCAGTATAAAGTGGCATGCACAGTCCAAGGACTTGTCATTTATTGCTAGAATGCTGTTAAAGTCCACAGTACTTTGCCACCAAACCTGTCTTAAGTAGGAACAAATTTATATCTGTAAGATATCTTTCATAATGGCAAAGCTCTTACAACAGAGAAAAGACAAATAATCCTACTATGTTTAAAATCTGATTAAGCTTTGTAGTATGCAAGCCAGGCCATCGGTAAAGGATCAGAAACAACAGCTGCAATACTCCACATGTTTCTGCTGGAAAGATTAACAATGAAACCTGCCAATATGACCAAAAGTCTTGTTCTACATATTTAGCACAAGATTAAAACCCTACTTATTCAGGCATTACCAGTTAGGATCTTTGCTTACTACTGTGTATCTTCCACCACAGTTGTATCATGTACAGAGTAAATGTTATAGTGCTACTACTGAGATTTCAAAATATATGAGTGTTTTAAACTGTATATTTAAAAGATTCATCTATCAATTATCAATAATTATTCTTAACGACAGATAAATGCCACAATGACATTAAGCAAAACTGGACAATCTATTTCCCCCACTTCACTATTGTTAATTCAGAAGAGCAGAACAGCATAGGGGGATCTAGTTTATTACTAGAGCTAAATAACAAATAACTATAA